AAATATCATCATTCATTTTAAAAAATGACACCACCTCCACTTCCACATCCAACTCCACCACTTGCACCACCACCAACTCCACCTCCACCTCCACCACCACCACCACCACCACAACCACCACCTCCTTCAAAACCTCCACATCCACCACCACCTCCACAACCAACACCACCACCACCACCATGCTGCCACCTTCATCACCACCATGCTGTCACTACCACCACCTCCATAAGCGCCATCCCTACCACCACCACCTCCACTCCATCACTACCACTACTACCACATGATTAGTACATAACACTTTTAACATCATGTCTATTTTAGTCATTATTCACAGTTACAACAATTTTATATTAAAACTTACCAAACGGTTTTGACACTGCTTTTTGTACTAACAGCATTTTAAAAATATTGTTTACCAAACGCGGAGCTATTTTACTTTACAGCTAATTATTTTCAAAACACAGCAGAAACAACCTTTTTTTAAAAGTGACAGCAATCCCAAACTGGGCCAAGGTTGGGTTTGGTTTACAAATTAAATTTAATAATACAAATTTATAAATAAACCCAATCCTAGACATGTATTTATAAAAAAATCCAAGCACTATTTAAACATAGAAACACACCCAAAATCAACCCCAAAGTCAACTTTTTGGGTGTGTTTATAAATGGGTTTTGAGTGTGTGTAATGATGGGTTTTGGGTGTGTTTATAAAGTGTTTTTGGTGTTGGGTTTTTTTATAATTTCAACCTCCATTTTGGGTGTTTTAGTGAAACTCCCATTTAATAATTGGCACGGGTATTCGGAACAGAAATTAAAAATAGAATTGCATCGTCACGAAAGATAAAATTCCCTCCAAAAATATATTTGGATAGAAAATAATTTAAATAAATCATGATTGATGAGTGACCCACAAATAAGACATACAGCTAATGATCCATTGGATAATCAAAGTCTTTGCGCTTCCTTTTCCCTAATTAGGAGCCCCACTCCTCTACACCCACTCCTACTTTTAGCGCACCGCACCCTTTCTCCCAAAAAACCCCAAAAATCAAAACTATAGTGAAGTGAGAGGAGAGAGAGAGAGAGCGCCAGCCACCTTTGCAGGCTCTCTCACATACTCATCCGCAGCCAAAAGCCTCAAAAAGCCCTAAAACCGTAACTGAGTGGTGTGGTTGTTTGTTGCAGCAATGGCCGACTCGACTCAGCTACAGCATGCCCAACTGGCGACGATTCTCGGCCCCGACCCGGCCCCTTTCCAAACCCTAATCTCCCACCTCATGTCCTCCTCCAACGAGCAGCGATCCCAAGCCGAGCTCCTCTTCAACCTCTGCAAGCAGACCGATCCCGACTCGCTCTCCCTCAAACTCGCCCACCTCCTCCAGTTCTCTCCCGCCCCTGAGGCTCGAGCCATGTCCGCCATTCTCCTCCGCAAGCAGCTCACTCGCGACGACTCGTACCTCTGGCCCCGCCTCTCCCCCGCCACCCAATCCAATCTCAAAACCATTCTCTTGACCTGTATTCAGCGCGAGGACACCAAATCCATATCCAAGAAGCTCTGCGACACCATTTCCGAGCTCGCCTCCGGGATTTTGCCTGATAACGCCTGGCCCGAGCTCTTGCCTTTCATGTTCCAATGCGTCTCCTCCAATTCTCCCAAGCTTCAAGAATCGGCGTTTTTGATATTCGCGCAGCTCTCGCAGTACATCGGCGACACCTTGGTGCCGCATATAAAGGAATTGCACGCCGTGTTCTTGCATAGTTTGGGAAACTCGTCAAGCGCCGAAGTGAAGATCGCGGCCTTGAACGCCGTCATCAATTTCATCCAGTGTTTGACGAGCTCTGCTGATAGGGATAGGTTTCAGGACCTGTTGCCGGCGATGATGAGGACGCTGATGGAGGCTTTGAACAACGGGAACGAGGCCACAGCGCAGGAGGCTCTCGAGTTGTTGATTGAATTGGCCGGGACCGAGCCCAGGTTCCTCAGGCGGCAGATTGTGGAGGTGGTCGGGTCTATGCTGCAGATTGCCGAGGCTGAGTCGTTGGAAGAAGGGACCAGGCACTTGGCCATTGAGTTCGTCATCACGCTCGCCGAGGCCAGAGAGCGCGCGCCTGGGATGATGAGGAAGTTGCCGCAGTTTATAAGCCGATTGTTCGCTATTTTGATGAGTATGCTTTTGGATATCCAGGACGATCCCGCATGGAATACAGCAGAGACAGAAGATGAGGAAGCGGGTGAGACCAGTAATTACAGTGTGGGGCAGGAGTGTTTGGATCGGCTTGCTATATCCCTGGGTGGGAATACCATTGTTCCAGTCGCTTCCGAGCAGTTGCCGGCATATTTGGCTGCCCCCGAGTGGCAGAAGCACCATGCTGCGTTGATTGCACTAGCTCAGATTGCTGAAGGTTGCGCTAAGGTATCGATTGTTATCATAATTGTTATTATATTATACTAGGGATAGTTGTTGCTCCAACCACTTAGATGCTCCACAATTAATCACATATGGAATGCTTGCATGCTTTTTCTGTTGGAGTGTAGAATTTGAGATATGGTAATAAGAGGCCCGAGGTTTTTGACTTGCGTTGAAGACACTGTTGTGTGAACATGAGTAGCTGACAAGATAGAGATGTAATGAGAGACAGTCATCTAGGATCAAATTACTCATGTTTATCCGGTTTGATTATCACATCCACACTTACCAAGTATGAATGAAAAGTTTTCATGGCAGATATAAGACAATTATTATGTAAAATGTTTGCACATACAAGCTTGCATATCACTACTCTTGATGCAGTTTTCAAGGGGTCAGTCTCAGTTCTATATCATCAATACTACCAAAGGAAAAAAAGTTCTTTATCATCAACTATAAGAAAAGTTCATCCCCAGAGTACTTTTGTACAGATTCTCTTTCTTCTAGCTAAAATGAATTGCCGTTTACATTATTGTTAATGGTATTCTGTTCCTTTTTATTTTTGTTGCAGGTAATGATTAAAAATTTAGAGCAAGTGGTGGCAATGGTCTTGAACTCATTTCAAGATCCACATCCTCGTGTAAGGTGGGCAGCTATTAATGCAATTGGGCAGTTGTCTACGGATTTGGGCCCAGATCTGCAAGTTCAATATCATCAGCAGGTGCTCCCAGCATTGGCTGCAGCTATGGATGATTTTCAGAACCCTCGTGTTCAGGTTAGTTCCCGGATACGGCATTTGGTCTTATTTCTG